CTCCGTGCCTCCCAACCTGTTTCCATAAGGACGAGGCAGCATCGCCAACTCCTTCCCCACCCTGCCCAGGGAAACTGAGCAGCCAGGGGGACACCGGCCTTGGAAGATGCCCAGAAGGGTTGCGGAGAAGCTCCCTGTCCTGCACGAACACCAGGGGCCCAGGGGTAAGAGCCCAGAGAGCCGGGACCCTTTGCAAAACCACTCAGGTGGAAGGGTTGAGTCCGAAATGCTCCGGTTCACCCCCCAGAGCCCCTCCCCGGGTTGGGCTTGATGCTGCTGCTGCCTTGGTTTGCCTGTAGGTGCAGGATTACAGCTGGAGAAGAGAGCGACCCAGCACTCGCTCCCAAGTCCAGAGCCAAAGCCAGCCTGGGACCCACCACCCTCCTCTTCCAGAGGCACCAGCACAACACGGACCACAGCCCACACCAGCAGACACTCCAGCTGAAAGCTTGAGGGACAGAAGCAGGACGCAGTCCGGGGGGAGCAGGGCGGAAGATTTTGGTTAATGAGGTCTCCAACCTGAAGCACAGCCCCAGCCCCTGCCAAGCAGCCACCAGAGATGCCGCTGGCTGAGAAGAACCGAGGGTGACCAGCGAGAAGCTCTGCTCCTGGGGCAGCGACGCCTGGAACGCTTCCTCGGAGACCAACCCAGAGACTTCTCAAGCCAGGTCTGACCACACCTGGAGGTGCGGAAGGGAGCGCCGGTGCGCCGCAGGACTCCCGCTTCTGCAGCGAGCGACGCACACCAAGCAAAAAGGGACGACTGGAGAGAAGACTCTGCCCCGGGGAAGTTCCTGCAGGTTTCGGAAGGATCCAGAGACCCCGCGTGCTGTTTTGCCATAAACTGAGGTGGCCGGAGCTCAGCTGTACAGCCTGTGTTTGCACAAAAATCAACCGCTCCCTCGGACACATCTATGAAAAAAAAAAAAAAATAACGATCCGAGCTACTTTCCCAAACGCGCTTCCCGAGGGACGTCCCAGGTCTCTCACAAGCAGGCACAGACGCTCTCGGAGGAGAAGAGCTCAGGGGTCCCGCCAGAACTGACCCGGCTGAGACCAGACCAGCTGAAAGTGCAGGTACTCGCCGCACCCGGGCGGCAAGGTCAGGCCAGCTCTGTTGGAGGAGCTTAAATAGACGAGTCTGGAGCCTTAGAAGCTCACGCTTGCAACACACTGCTCCCCGGGCTCTGAAAGCCACTGGGGGGACAGGGAAGGGGGGGGGGGACAGGGAAAGGGGGAGGGGACAGGGATGACAGGGAAGGGGGAGGGGACGGGGATGACAGGGAAAGGGGGAGGGGACAGGGATGACAGGGAAGGGGGAGGGGACGGGGATGACAGGGAAAGGGGGAGGGGACAGGGATGACAGGGAAGGGGGAGGGGACGGGGATGACAGGGAAAGGGGGAGGGGACAGGGATGACAGGGAAGGGGGAGGGGACGGGGATGACAGGGAAAGGGGGAGGGGACAGGGATGACAGGGAAGGGGGAGGGGACGGGGATGACAGGGAAAGGGGGAGGGGACAGGGATGACAGGGAAGGGGGAGGGGACGGGGATGACAGGGAAAGGGGGAGGGGACAGGGATGACAGGGAAGGGGGAGGGGACGGGGATGACAGGGAAAGGGGGAGGGGACAGGGATGACAGGGAAGGGGGAGGGGACGGGGATGACAGGGAAAGGGGGAGGGGACAGGGATGACAGGGAAGGGGGAGGGGACGGGGATGACAGGGAAAGGGGGAGGGGACAGGGATGACAGGGAAGGGGGAGGGGACGGGGATGACAGGGAAAGGGGGAGGGGACAGGGATGACAGGGAAGGGGGAGGGGACGGGGATGACAGGGAAAGGGGGGGGACAGGCCCCTGCAGTGACCGACGGCAGGAGAGAGGAGTGAACGGCGGCACAGCCACGCCGGGGGAAGGAACAAGCTAAAACCACAGCGCGTAGGTGCTTGCTCGCTTGCACGCTCACAGGTGAGCTGCAGCATTTGTACCTGTGAAACGCTGCTTTCAGCGTGACGGCCGGTTTTGCCCAAACCCCAGGAGGTCCCAAAAACCCTCGCTTCACCCTCAGCCCCGCTCGGGAATTCCTGTGCCAGGTCCTTGGATGGGTGCAGAGGCAGGAGCTGCCATAGGAACCGCAAAACCGGGATGAAAAAGGCTGCAAGCGAGGCCACCTCTCCGCCTCGGCTGCGCCAAGTCCTGCGCCGACACGTCGGCACGTCCCCG